GGGTTTAGGGGTTAGGGATGGTTAGGGTATACCATAAACCATGTTAGGGAGCCGATTCTGACTTAAGGTCTATCCCAAGATTAAGGGATGTTGGAAGGCCTGGGCATGTCCAGAACCCACCGTAAAGCGAGAACGGGAGCCCTGAACCAGAAGCCCTAAATCCTAAACTTAGGGTTTAGGGTTTAGGGTTTACACCCAGGGCTTAGGGCTTAGGGTTTAAACTTAGGGCTTAGGGCTTAGGGTCTAAACTTGGGGTTTAGGGTTTAGGGTTGAGGGTTTAGGGTATACACTTAGGGTTTAGGGTTTAGGGTCCCAGAGCCATCGCCAATAACAAGCACAATTCCCCAACACGAAACTTTACACCCCCTCTGCAACCTAAACCCCAAACCCTATACCGAGTCGGTTGAACCCCAAACTCCTAAACCCCAAAGCTTGCGCCCTAAACTCCCAAAAGTTCATCTAAATTACTGTCTTGCCTTGTTATCTCAGGCCTCGGCCGCCTTCTTCGCCAACAAGAAAGCGCAGGGAGCTCCGTGTTCGTACAGTGTTGGGAGGATTTTAGATTTGGGGTTTGGGCCTCGCTGGGGCTCGGAGGTTTGGGGTTTAGGAGTTTAGGCTTTTGAGCTGGAGACTTCGAGCTTGTTGTTCGGGGTTGGTGGCTAAACCCTAAACCCTAAGCCCTAAACCGCAAGCCTTACACCCTAATTAAGCCCTAAGCCCTAAACCCTAAACCCGCAACCCGAAACATGAAGGTTGCCGCTTGGGCGATCTGGGTACGTCGAGCCGCAAACATCTGAGACCTTAATCCCCTAAGGCCCAAAGCCCGCAGGCCCTAAACCCCAAAGCCCGCAAAGACATCCAAGCCCGAAAACAGGAATGCACAAAAACCCCCGAACCCTTAAAGGTTTAGGGTTTAGGACAGAAACCTTTTGAAGAAACCTTTTTGTTGCAACCGTTAAAGGAACCTTTGAAGGATGATTGAGAACAGCCCTATCACCCCAAGCGCCAAACTGCGAAAAACGCGAACCCGGAAAGCAAAAAAAGACCCCGAACCCTAAACCCTAAACCCTAAACCCTAAACCCTAAACCCTAAACCCTAAACCCTAAACCCTGAACCCTAAACCCTAAACCCTAAACCCAAAGCCCTAGACCGTGAAGCTCAAAAGCCGCAACAGACCCCGAGGCTCAGCCGAGCCACGCAAATCTTCGTGGACTCTGCAGAGGAGCTGCGGCGGTGGGTACTTTCAGGGTTTGGGTTTAAGGTTTACGGCTTTCGATTCCGTTTTACCCTGATTTAGCGCTTCGGAGTTTTAGGGTTTCTTGGGGTTTGACGTTTAGGGTTTCCAGATCTTTCTTTATCAGCTTTAAACCCTAAACCCTAAACCCTAAACCCCTAAACCGAAAGCCCTAAACCCTAAACCCTATTGTTGCTGTGGGCAGTGTTGCTGTGATAATCGTTCCTGTAACATTTACGGTGATTGACCGTATACCCGAAACTGTAGAAACCCCGAAAGCCCTAAACCGTCAACTTTTGGCCCAAACTCTACATCCCAAAGCCCTTGGGAATCTACCCTCAAGCCTAAACCCTAAACCCTGAACCCTCTACCCTCAACCCTAAGCCCTAAGTCCTAAACCCTAAACCCAACGCCCTAAGCCATAAGCCCTAAACCCTAAACCCCTAAACTCCTAAACCCTAAGCCCTAAACCCGAAACCCTAAGCCCTTTAAAGCCTCCAAAACCCTATGAAGACTTGACCTGACCTAAACCCTAAACCCTAAACCCTAAACCCGAAACCCTAAATCCTAAACCCTGAACCCTCCTTCGGAGGATTTCTGCGACCAAATCCAAGGAGACTTGAAGTCGATGCCTCGGTCTGCTGGGCACTTTCTTAAAGTGGGTTTAAGGGTTTAGGGTTTAGGGTTCAGGGGTTTAGGGGTTTAGGGGTTTAGGGTTTAGGGTTTAGGGGTTCAGGATTTAGGGGGTTTAGGGTTTTAGAGTTTAGGGTTTAGGGGTTTAGGGGGTTTAGGCTTTAGGGTTTAGGGGGTTTAGGGGGTTTAGGGTGCTTTGCAAGTTTCTTCTTTTACTAAGGGTTCATTAAGGGGTTATATAAGAGGTTTTGTAAGAGTGTTCTTAGTTTGTTTTACAGGTGTGTTATAAGGATTCCGGAGCATTTCAGAAGAGGTTTCACGAGAGCTCAATAGTATGCTTAATTAATCGGCGATTATTGCTGGCATGGGAGTGCAGGGTCTAGTGTTTCGGGTTTTGTGTTTCCGGTTCCGGCTGGTGGGTTGCATGGGCTTAGCCACATAGCTAATACAGGGGGTTGAATAATTAGAATAGGGTTTGGGATATATATAAAAATATATACTATACCTTAAACCCTAAACCCTAAACCCTAAACCCTAAACCCTAAACCCTAAACCCAACAGTTCTAAAACGGAACCCCCAAAACCTTGCTCTAATTTTGAAGGACCCGACGCTACGCACACAGAACCCTTTGGGCACATGTCCCGCACCAAAGCCTTGAGCCATGCACCCTCAACGCTAAACTCCTAAATCCTAAACCCTAACCCCTAAATCCAAAAACCTAAGCCCTAAACCCAAAACCCTCAACTCTAAACCCTGAGCCCTAAACCCTCAAACCTGCAGCCGTCAACCCCAGAGCCTGGAACCGGAGGCCCGAAACTCATCACGATTGCAAGGACAGCTTTGACAGATGGGTTTAGGGTTTAGGGTTTAGGGTTTAGGGTAGGGTTTAGGGTTTAGGGTTTAGAGTTTAGGGTTTAGGGTTTAGGGTTTAGGGTAGGCGTCAGGGTCCTCAGCAGCGGCATGCTGAAGCCGACACACAACCCCACAGCTCCAAACCTCAAAGCCCCAAGCCCAAAATCCGCAAACACCAAATTCCCTAAACCCTAAACCCTAAACCCCAGATTCCCTGAACCCTAAACCCTAAACCCACATTCCCTAAACCCTAAGCCCCCAAATTCCCTAAACCCTAAACCGTAAGCCCCAAACCCCCAAAACCCTAAACCCTAAACCCGGAAGAACCCCAAACCAAAGCTCGGGCCCTCAGCGGGTGCAAGGGCCGACGAGAACGTCTTCGAGAAGCTGTGGACCTATGTGGCATCGACCTTGTCGGCTAAAGGGAGGGTTTACTTAAAGGATCATGGGACTTTGTAAGTAGGGTGTAGGGTTTAGAGTTTAGGGTATTAGGGTTTGGGGTTTAGGGTTTAGGGTTTAGGGTTCAGGGTTTAGGGTTTAGGGTTAGCTAATTTCGGGGCCTTAATAGTTAGAATTGGATTTTGGGGCCCGTCATACAATACGAGTAAACCCTAAACCCAAAATTGTAGGCAATTTTTAAGGCCAGGGTTTTGGGGGTTTGAGGTTTAGGGTTTAGGGTTTGCACTTAGTGGTTGTGATGATGCTGTTCTTGATGTTGGTGTTAACTCACATCTTGATGATACTGATTTCGATGACCCTGATGCTGCCGATTGTGATGATATAGCTGCTGATGGTTATGATGATGGTTGTGATGAGGCTAACAAATGGGCTTTCAGCCCTCAACCCTAAACCCGAAACCCTAAACCCTATACCCTAAACCCTAAACCCTAAACCCGAAACCCGCTCCAGGGGTGAAGAAGTCTGAGACTGCGAGGAGCTTGATTCTTTGGGTGTAAAATGGTTCAGGCCTAACAGTCGAGTAATGTCCCAGAGTCCCTAGTGTGGTGATAACATAACAAAACAGCAAAAAAAGCGTTCTACTTGTTGAGGAAGTTAGATACTCAAACCTTGCAGCACCCCCTTCAGAACCATTCTAGATCCCTTGCGCGCACCCTACTCCAGTCATGAAGGCACCTCTTTTCAGACCCTCGCCGGCGGTTTGGAAGGTGATTGTGAGCCGACAAGAGGGGTGAGGAAGTTGATCAAAGCAATGCCATCGCAACTTACAGCATAAAGCCGACATGGCCCCGGAATGCGGGTTTCGGGCTTTGGGCTCAAGGAGTTAAGGCTTAGGGCTCCTAACAAAAAAAGTTTGACACCCGGAAGGAATCCTGCCAAGAACCCTTGCAAGCTTTTAGGGCTTTGGGGATGTCATGGCCGGAGACCGAGCCTCCACCGTGTCCGAGGTGCAGACCAACGCGGACATGCTCTACGGCAACGGCGAGAATGTCGGGCCGGCCATGTTCGGCCCCGCTGCATAGTGCTCGACGCGCAGTCCGAAAACCCAAATCCCTACTAAACCCTAAACCCTGAACCCTAAACCCTAAACCCTAAACCCTAAACCCTAAACCCAAAGCCTTACACCCTACATCGTAAGCCCCAGACTCGAAACCTTAAACCTCAAACCTTGGAGAAAAGCTCAGAATTATCAGCCCGCAGCCTTCACCCAGTTCTGGAGGTGATTGTTCGACAATGTTTTTCTTAATAAAACCCTAAACCCTAAACCCTACCGCAGGTATCAGATTCTGACTCTGAAGGCCCCTAAACCCTAAACCCTAAACCCCAAACCCTAAACCCCAAACCCTAAACCCTAACTCTGAAGGCCCTTCCACAGCCCACTGGTCGGAGCCTTGCTCGCCAGGCCGGGCGCATCGTCTGCAAGACCATTGACAGCATCAACAAGGAGCGGTCTCCAGGGGC